TCTCTGCTGATTGAGATCATTTCGACAAAATGAAATTTAAAAAAAATAAATTTGTCCCCCTCTTTTTTTTAACATTCCATCAATAGTGACGTAGTTGTTGTTATTGTTGTTGTTTTTGTTGACTCTTGGGTATTTTTAGCCAGTGGCACGTGTCATGTCTGTTGTCCAGTAGACACTTTTTCCATATAAGGATAAAACTTTAGGCACTGTGGTAGTATAGAGTATAACTCCATTATGGATAAAATAAAGTTTTGTTTTATTTTGATAAAATCACACACACACACACATACAGTGTAGAGTGTTGTTATACAGTGTTATATTTTTGCTACTGATGACCACTGACCGTTGAGTACAATTCATGCACTGCTCATAATCTCATATCAAGCAAGGCACTAACTACTCACACAACTCACTTTCTTGCTTCCTCGTTTATATATACATGAGTATAAATTCATGTGATTAGACATTTAAAAAACCAAAAACCAAATAATTGAGCCATCAAAGAATATTCTTTTGATGGTATTAGATGGTTGGAGGCAATCGGTCACAGGAAGCCTTGGACACCACCGAGGTTTCGTGTTAGTTGGCACTCACCAGTCAGCAAGGCAGGTGTATCTGCAACCTTGAAGGAACTCATGTCCCTTCTGAGATTCGAACCCGCGTCACCATCCAGTGCTGCAATCGGTTTCCTACCGATTGCCTCCAACCATCTAATACCATCAAATCAATGTGCACCGTGATGGCGAGCTAGCTAGAATGGTGGTCACATTACAACCTGGCTGATAGAATTCAGTCTATACCAATCAGAGGACTAGATGCATCACACTAGTTACTAGTGTCAAATCAAAAGAATATCCTTTTTGATAATTTCCACTTCTGGCGTCGGTGGCACAGTGGTTAGGACTCTTGCCGACCATGCACATGGTCTGAGGTTCGATATCCTGCCGACGCACACCTGATATCTATTGTCGGTCTGCGAAATTCGGGCTACGATATCCATGCGGAAAATTCCATACTTGTACCAAAAATACAGTGTGGAATCAAGCTGTAATCAAAAATAAAATTATGTATGTATAAACAGAATACCCTAGAATAGTAGTCAATAACAATATTTGTGTTTTTTAAGTAATACCGATTTGTAAAGTAAGATCACGATGGAATTACATTTCATTAAAGATGCTTAAATTATAATAATAACCACTAAAATGTAATAAATAGCAAATAAAATATCAACTAAAATTAGGAAAATTCCACACAATTCAGGATCATTCAAACCTAGATGGCCAAGGTAACGATAATGTCTGAACTGGCTTCTTTTGGACACATAAATTAGGCTTTTTGATGTGCATCCCAACTGCCAACCTCAGCAATATTTAGTAATCGAAGTCTTAAGGCAAAATTGAGATTCGTGGGTATGCGGTAAATGACCCTGAAAGCATGGTTAACGTCAGTCTTGTGTTGTCCATCCAGAAGATGAGATAGAATAGCGCTATGTGAATAGATTTTGTTTGTCCTTTGCTTAACCACTGTGCAGGGTTATGTTCGGAAATTCGACGAAGAACACGTCTAATTTTACGGCTATGTAACTGGCTCCACAGGAGCAGTTAAATTGGTAGATACACATGGAAGAGGCGAAATTGGGTAGTTTATCTTTTACTGCCGAACACAAAAGAGGAGTGGTCTTGAAGACACAACGTAATTCGACAGCAGAAAATGCTTTTTCACCGCCACATTTCTAAGGCGGTGTGGTTAGTATCTCGCTGATGTTGTCCCCAAGGAACTGCAATTGTAAGAATAAGGCCTTTTTTGGAACTGTTGAAACTTGGCCTGCTTTGGTTTCATATTCTTATCAATAAACTTTTCAGGATAACCATTTTCACTTAGCAACCGTTTAATATTATTAAGTTCCTCATCAAGACATTCGTCCAAGCAAATTACTCTGCTCTGTGGCTGACCAATCACTTTATCAGATTGCGTTTGTATTTCAAAAGGCACGAAGATGAAAAAAATGAGTATACTGACAGTCAGTTGATGTAGATTTTCTATATACACCACTTCTTCTTCTTCTTCTTATTATTATTATTGTGCCATCCCCTTTTATGGTCATAGAGGACGTCTACAAAAATGACATAGTAGAGTCTTTTTCTTTCTCAATGATAGCAGTATTCTCAATAACAGTGTTTGTGTTTTTTAAAATAATATCGATTTGTAACGTAAGATCACAATGGAATTACAGTTCATCAAAGATGTATAATTCATAATAAGCATACATACAATTTCTACAAAATAAAATTGAGGATCATTCAAATCTACATGACCAGCGGGTTAAGGACAATGTCTGAATTAGCTTCTTCTTTTGGACGCACAAATTAGGCTACTTAAAGTGGATTCAAACACCTGGCCTCAATAATATTTAGTAAACGAACTTTTTTTTTCCTTCACGTTCCTAGTGGAACATAGGGCTTCAAGCGAGTGGCTTGAAGTTTCTGTAGCAGTGTTCATTTTTACAGGATAGGGTTGCTATCCTCATGCCCAACCTTTCCTGTTTAACAGCATTATTTCTGGCTTAGCGAGGTAAAGGAGGAGTGCGTCCTGTGGCCGGGGATCGAACCCCGGACCATGTGCATGGTCGGCGAACGTCCTGACCGCTATACCACCGACGCTATTAAGGCGATATTAAGATTTATTGGTATACGACACGGTAAATGACTGACTTTGAAAGCTGTCGTCTCGTTAACATTATCAATCTTGTGTGTTCTGTGTATCCACAAGATGAGAAAGAATAGCGCTATGTGAATAGATTTTGTTTGTTTTCTTTATTGAACCACTACGCGAGGTGATGTTCGGAAATCCGACGATTAACACGCCTATTTGTACAGCCTGTGCAATTGACTGGCTCATTCCACAGGAGCATAAGATAGAGTACATTCAGAAATAATAATTATACAACTCATCTAACAGTTGTACGACAATGCTGCATGCCAAGTAATCCACAACAAGAAAGTCACAGAATCCTTCGAAGTGAGGATGGGAGTGAGGCAAGGCTGTTTATTATCGCCAATGATTTTCCTGATTGCAGTAGATTGGATAATGCGACAGACAGACAGACAGACAGCGGGCAACTAGGAAACAGGCATAAAATGAACCCACACAAAAAACGTGGAGGATCTGAACTTCGACGATGATAATATTTGTCTGATTTCCAACAAACTGGAAGTTATGCAAGTGATAAGCAACAAGTTGGCAGAAGAGGCATCAAGGATAGGCCTTTAGATGAACATAGAGGAAACAGAGGTGACGATAAAGATTGCTGGGCAACAGCTACAGCAACAGACAACAGACAAAAATCAGCCAGCATAAATGGGAGGAATCTGAAAGTAGCAACCTCCTGTAACTACCTATCTGGGAGTCATTGTTTTAACTACAGATGGTCGAAGCTGATGAGGATATCAAAGCGGTGAGGATCGGGAAAGTAAAGCAAGCTTTCATTACTCTCAAGTCTGCGTGGAGGTCAACAGCACTCAGCATGAAAGTGAAAATAAGATCCAGATTTTCAACTTCAATGTGAAGTCAGTGGTACTCAAGATACGGATCAGAGACTTGGCCAGCGCGTCATAAAGAGCACCTCAGACAAACTAGTCTTCGCTCAACACTACTTAAGATCAGATGGCCGGCCAAAAAAGTTCAGCAACAGGGGTCTCCAGGAGCGAACCAACCCAGCAGGGACCGATTGTGCAACAAATAGGCAGAAAGAAATGGAGATAGGTGGATTGGCCATACTCTGAGGAAACAAACCATCAAGTGACATCTCACGCTAGGCCATTGCTCGAGTGGAACCCGAAAGGGAAGCGGCGAGTTGGTCATCCGAAGGTGGGGTGACATGGAGGAGGTGATGTGAAAAGTAGAAGAGGAAAGCATGTGGACAGACTTGGAGCCAGGTGAAAACTCTAGCAGAGAACCGAACACAGTGGAGAAGTGGGCGGTTGAAGCCCTATGTTCCTCTAGGAATTAAAGGGAATAATAATAATGGTGTTATCAATCAAATACAATCAGATGGGAAGTAGGATGTTTTATTATAGTTAAATAAATAACTTGTTAGAATGTTAGAATGTATGTGAATTGAATTGAAATAGAATTTTAAGATTATTTATTATCCTCCTCTGATTTGACCAGCTTGTGATAATAATAATAATAATAATAATATCTTCCATACATATCTCTGGTACTTGCAATGATGAGTCACTTCAATTGGGCATGTGTTGTGTGTGTAGACTCGATGAACCAGGCAGGATCCAGTAATCAACCTTTCTCTCTCTCCCCCACCCCACCTACCTATATTACTTTTTAGAATTTTGACTCTGTCCCAATATTGTCCCATATTTTGTTTATAATGTGTATTAATGCAGCACACTTCAGTCCATATCATTCAATATTCAATAAACCTTAATGTTTTTTTTTCATTTTTATCTTATCTATTTAAAATAGTGAAACGGAGTCGTTATGGCGACCAGTTACATCTTTGTCAAGTATGTACAGTTTAATTCGACTATGGCGGCATACATTAATTGACGGTGGTTGTCATAAACTCCTTGAAGATGGTGTTTACAGTGTACATCAGGTTCGTCATATTATTATTGATTTGTAATCAACCCTACATGTATACACCATCATATCTTTTCATTTCCTTGTCTCTCTCTAGTGGAACATAAATAAGGCTCTTCAAAGTTTGAACTTTTTTCTAAGTCTCAGTAGCGATGGTGTGTTATTTGTGTTTTTCCGGGTTGTAGTTGGCATCCTTTCCTCATTACTCTTGGGTTTACACTAGGAGTTAAGCGAGGTTTATGAGTGTGTGGGCCGGGAATCACCACCATATATCTGGTTAAATGATATCTAAAATTGCTAATTCTAATTTCTTGACGTTCAACTAACAAGACAAAAAGAACAAGATGGAACACTGAAAAGATCTACTTACACAAAAAGTCGACGTGGAACGGATGACTTACTAACTTTCACAGTTGGGGGTACCACCTCCATACACCAAACAAAACCTGATCCGTTCACTCAGCTACAGAGTTCACAGAAGACAAACTGGACAATCTCAAGAGAATCCTCTTTGAGAATTGTTATCAAGAATGATTTATTGAGAAATCCATGAATGATGGACCGCAAAAGCCTCCTAAGCTGCTTAGCATCCCGAAAAAACTCCTCTACATGAACCTTCAATTCAATAGAGATTCATCTGCAGAAACACTGAAAAATCGACTGTCCCATTCGCTTAAGAAAACTTTCCTTGCAGCTGAACTACGATTGACCTTCTCCACAAAACCTATGATTCGTATGAACGTGAAGAATAAGCTACCACTGATGGTCAGCCTCATCAATGTGTATCTACCAATTAACCTGTTTTTGTTGAGCCAGGTATGTCGGCCGTACCTGGTGTTCACTTTCCAAACGTATCACCGAACACTTACCAGTATGGTTTTACAAAGGAGGAAATCGATGCCCCCGCAGCTCTATCTTAGAACATCTGATAGAATCCTGGAAACCAAGCTACACACTCCAAACAAACTTCAAAGTTGTCTACAGAATACGAAGCAGCCTTGCTAAATGTGTATGAATCAAACTTCTTCAAACTGCAGAAGCAATGGCAATTCACTAGCTAAGCCCTGAACTCTGCATATAGAAGAAGTTCGTTCAATCACACTACACTTGTAATGGACGTAGTCCGTCTTAAAGCCTGACAGGTAAATTGTGTTTCTTTCTGTCTCTTCATCAGTATTATTTTGTTTTTACAATTGCAATATTTTACATTTTCAACTTTCCTGTTCTCTATTCCCATTCGATTTAACTTCTGCACTTCATTTTTTTGCTTCTAGTTGTGGTAGATTTTGTAAACTTGTTTTTGTCGTTTATTTCACTTCACCCTCCAAACAAAAAAACTGTTGTTTGGTCGGAGGATTTCATCATGAGGTGACATCAGTTACAGGACCATTGGAAAACCTGGGATGACTGGCCAGCTGTCTCGTCCTAGTTTGGGACTCTTCAACGCGCACTGACCGGTATTCGAACCCAAGACCTTCTGGTTACAAGGCGAGCCGTCAATCTGATGCTGACTGGCTCTATTCAGGAGGTTAACCTGGGGTTCTAGTGGGAAGCCGTGACCAGTAGGATGTAGCAGGTTGAATTCGAGGGGGTAAATCATCAAAGAAGTCATTCCCGAAGTGGTCGCGCTATTTCGTGAATTGGCAGAAGTTAGAATTCATGGGCTGGTTGGTCATTGGATTGGATGAAGTTGGAAAAGAGTTAGCCAAGTACTGGTAGTCAAACGAAAACATTGCTTCATTAGTCAATGAAATCCGCAACACTTAGTTTAAGCCGGTCAGCCACACTGAGAGAGGTGTAGACTGCCTGGCTGGTTGAGGTCTTCGGAATGGTGAAAACCAATGGCTGTCGCAGATGTATTCACTTTCTATGATTGATCGCATCCAAGAAAACTGTATTGTCCTTTCATATTATTGTTCTTTTTGCTTCACACTTCTGTTTATTATTATCTATCTTTTTACTATCATCTTCCCTTGTTTTGTGTGGTGGTAGATGGAGGGAGTGTGGCGAGTGGAAACAGTGCACATCTCTGTGCAAAGTTCTACGTTGAACCCATCCAGCCGCCCAGTCATTATCATCCAATTATATGAATATCAATGATAAAGAAATGATATTGTTATTATTATTATTATTATTGTTCCCTTGGGTTCCTGGTAGAACACAGGGCTTCAACTGCACGTCTCCACTTGCCACTTCTGCTGTACTTTTCACCTGCATCCATGTTGTTAGCATATACTGTTTCAACTCCTCATCACACGATCTCCTCCATATCACCCTTGCACCGACGACCCACTCGCCGCTTCCCATTCTGTCGGGTTCCACTCGAGCGATGGCCTGACGCGCGCGCGATGTAACCCAGTCGTGGCCTCCACAGCGAGTAGTGTCCAATCCATCTCCACTTTCTCCTGCATATCTGCTGCTGTTGGGCGATTGATTCTTGTTTTGTTTGTTCCCATAGTTTCTTGTTGGTGGCGATTCTTTCCAACCCGGCCATCTGATTGATCTTCAGTATAGAGCCAGCGAAGACAGTTGTTGATAAAGGTAACGTCTGCAACAGGCTGTCGGAAATACCTGTTCTTTGTGACCCACCCGCCAAGTTTCTGATCCGTATAGAAGAACTGACTGGATGTTCGTATTGATGCTGAGTGACGAAGATTTCCAGATTTGTTTCAGTTTGGTGAATGCGTTTCTCGCTCGCCTACCCGATTCTCGCTCGATTTGACATCCTCGTCTGTTCCGACTTCCTGTAGTTGAAACAATGCTCCCTAGATAAGTGAATGAAGTAAATTGTTCGCAATCCTCCCCCTCCCACCCCCGGTTGATGGTGATTGGCGCTGGACGTTGCTGCTGCTTTTGTAGTCTTGTTTTTGTTCACTTGGAGTCCTGTCTTCGCCGGCTGCTTCTTCGACCAGTTTGTCGGTCGTTTTTCGCTTGTAAGTCTTTGATTTTGTGACAGTGACATCAAACATAAATTATCCACGCGCGAAATCCAGGTTTTCTAGGTTCTTCACGTCGGTCGGTCCAGGATATCCCTGTCTTCTCGTTTTCCACTCACTGTCTGACGCATAATCCAGTCAGTTCACCACAATTAGGAATAATCACTGGAATGAAATGATATAACATTTAAATTATTCTTTTTCTCCATCTCATACACCTTCGCATAATAATAATTATTATTATTCTCAGCTCTTTGTCTCTCTCACTTCATATATATTCATATTCCTATCACAGTACATTCTCTTCTCTGTTGTTTACATATATGAACAATGCTTTATGCATTTCTGAAAACCTTATCACCATGACATATGTGTGAATCATGCGTAAAAATGCGTATTGCCTGTCTGTCTATTCACTATGTGTATCCGCATTTATTATGTGTGTCCAGTTTCCTCCTTCATCCGCTCCGCCGCGCTCCCCCTCACCCCACCCTCACACACACACACACACACAATGAATGATGATTCATACCTCTTTGAAAATTTGTTGTCGTCACACATATGGGATATGTGCGTAGTTGCATGGATGGATGGATGAATGGAGAGATAGATGAATGATGGTTAAAAACAAAAGTAAACAAAAACGTAAATTTTATTTTAACGGATTTATTTTATTACACTGTTGGTATGTTTATTTACAGCTTACATAGAGTTGCTCGTCGTCGTATGTGTAGGTGTATGTGTGTGTGTCTAGGCTTCACCTGCGTATTAGTGAGTCAGTCAGTTAGTTAGTCGGCGGCGGTGGCGGCTTGTATGAAAAAAAAGCAAACATTGTCATTTCTGTCTCAAACATTATCTAATCATATATGTGAGTAAGAAAAGAGAATATGTATCTCTGACGTCTTAATATATATATATATATATATATATAAAACTTGGGCACTGTGGTGGTAGTAAGTAATTCCATATTAGTTTGTTTATTAAATGTATCACACAGTCAGTGAAACAGGATTACTGTTTGCTGGATGACAATGTTTCGAACAAAATTTATTTATTCTGCATAATCATTTCATCAATTATAATCACACGACTTCGAAGCTTGAGTTTTATAGTTTTCTTTGTCCTCTCCTATTTGTCGTCGTTGGGGTAGTATTAGAATTTTCCAGATATCTGGGTGGACAGGTGTTGAATCATTCCTACTACACGTATTCTCTTCAGGTGATTCGATAAACAAAGCTTCCGTCGTTATCGATGTCTCCCGTCACCCTGTTAGTTGTATTAGATTTTAAAACTGTCATGGCTGTGTGTCATTGAATGTAGTGAGTGCTATATCTGAACTATTCTCTAGATTTCTTATCTTATTCGTGTCAACCAATCTAGATTTCGCTGCTAGGTTTTTATGTTTGGCTAGTCTGACTCACTGCCCCTGTTCAACTAGTTTGATCTATGTATTTGACCTGACAATTATTATTATTATTAAGTTTCAAACTTAATGATTACCCGGATAAATTAGTCAGGAAATATGTAATGAAACGTAAAAATAAAATGAATAATGATAGTAGTGATAGTGATAATAATAATAATATCAATATTAATGGCGACATGCCTGTCAAACATCAGCAAGACAACGCTAACAATAAGGAATCTAAATCGTCAACAGTAACTCCATACAAGGAAGGAACCTCGGAAACCTTGCGCAGAATTCTTAACAAGGCAGGCAGGAATAAAAGTGACTGGCATTCAAACCACCCACAAACTCAATTAGAAACAAGCTTTGCCGGTTAAAGGATCAATCCTGTGGAGTCTTAAAAACAAAACAATTTAGTTTATCTAATACCCTGTCTGAGATGATTGTCAGGTCAGATACATAGGTCAAACTAGTAGAACATGGGTCGTCAAACTAGCCGAAGATAAAAGCCTAGCAAAATCTAAATTGGTTGAGCCAATTAAGATAAGGAATCCAGATAATAGTTCAGCCATACCACTCACTTACTACATGCAATCACACACAACCACACAATAGGCTGAATGGAATAGGATGACAGTTTTAAAATCTAATGCAACAACCGGGTGAAGGGAGACATTGATAACGATGGAAGCTTTGTTTATCGAGTCAACTGAGAGTGAATACGTGTAGTAGGAATGATTCAACACCTGTCCACCCAGATATCTGGAAAATTCTAATACTACCCCAACGACGACAAATAGGAGAGGACAAAGAAAACTATAAAACTCAAGCTTCGAAGTCGTGTGATTATAATTGATGAAATGATTATGCAGAATAAATAAATTTTGTTCGAGACATTGTCATGCAGCAAACAGTAATCCTGTTTCACTGACTGTGTGATACATTTAATAAACAAACTGATATGAAATCATGAATATGATTCAGTAACATGTATATATTATATATATATATATATATATTAGATTTGTTTTAACGAGTTGATCATGGTATTGATATCAGTTAGAGAATCATTGAAAACCAGCCAAAGGGAGTACCGGGCAGCCCAGGTGTTTCCGTAGTCCTTATTTGTTTTGGGAATCATCGGCAGTACGCACCCACCCACACTGCAGGGTTCGAACCCAGGACCTTCCGGTTACAAGCAAGCAAGCAAGCTCGTATACTATTCAGCCACTGGAAGCCGACTCATCAATGGCCAGTCTGTGAATTCTAACTTTTACCAGTTCGTGATTTAGCGCAACTGGCACCAACCAATGTCATAGGTGGTACGTCCATCTTCACATTCGGCTGAATGGATCTCACTGGTCACACAACTTCTCACTAGAACTCTAAGAAACTCCGTTCTGTAGAGAAAGTCACTAGCATGCCTTGTAACGAGCAGGTCCTGGGTTCGAACCCTGGCAGTGAGTGCGTAATGACGAAGATTCCCAAACTAGGATGAAACTTCTCCGTTAATCCCTGGTTTTCATTGGTTTCCTAACTGATATCGATCCGTGGTCAAAATCGTAAAACAGCAGATTTAATCCTTACAAACTAAACTATAGAAAATTAATCTGATGCTCGCTAGTGAATGACCTGCTACAGAACGGAGTTTCCTGGAGTTCTAGTGAGAAGTTGTGACCAGTGACGTCCAACCATTAGGGACTATATCCGAAAAATTATACACACATAAAGACATGGGCGCGGAGGGAATTCTGTTTCAGGAGTGTCTTGTTCCCCAAACTCT